AGTGTATACACAAAGAACTGTGCTATTCGGTTAAATAAGGTTTTTTTTGAAATAAGAGTATTCGTTGGAAATAAGGTGAGAAATAATGTCTTTTTTATACAACAACATTCAACTCCATCTTTTTATCAGACATTAGTTTCATTCTTCGTTTTCTCACAATCATATAGTTTCCCAGTTACGTGAAAATTTTAAAAACAATCTAGTACAGAAAAATAATACCAGATTCTCAATAAAGATACTATACAGTGAAATCGACTAAAACAAGCTTTTCACATATAACTGTGGTTTTTCCTGTTCCTAACAAACTTTGGTATTTCTAGTTTATTTTTAATAAAAGTGCGAATTCGCAACATCATCCTAATTAATTCAACGATTTTCTGTGAGTTTTACACTTTTATTTTCAGTTGATTTTTACGCATTAGAATTTTTAAGCAGCGAATCCCTGCAGAGAATATGTTGTTAAATGAAAACATAGGTCTGTAATAGTGTCAACTTGTTTTGAATATTTTTATATTTAAAATAAGAAATGTGAAAAGAAGAAAGAAATTAAGGTTTGTGATGTGATACCTTTATAACACCGCTCACAATAGAATTACCACAGAATTTCTGAAAATAGTACATGAGTACATCATATAACTAATAAAATATTCCAGAAATGCATCGTTCAAAATGTTTGTCTTTCTGTTGATAAAATAAGTTCACATTTTGCTATTAGTGTTGAATTTATATTAAAATAATAATGTATATCCCGGTACATCTTATAATATATATATTTTCTTCCGGTTTGCTCACAAGTCTTGTAAAATACTGATCAGTTCTGCACTCTTCTCAGAATCATCAACATTCGTTTTATACTAAGATAAATTCGATACTAATACCAAAATCTTGAAGTATTTTCTAGTATGAACCAAAAAATACTAAAGTGTGTTTCAGTTAAAGCAATCGTAATACTAACCCGAAGTCCTCAATCAGTTGTTTCCTTATTTAGAAGACCGATCACACTAAGCGTGTCTAAAGCTCTGATATCAGATATCATTTGATCATTATTCTCTTGATTGACAATCTAACAATCCATCTTTATTCTAGCACCAGCATCATTTGCACAAGCTCTACTATGGCATAATGAATCTATTTATTTTACTCCTAACATATCACAAGTACCAATCCACAACATACCTTTTGTTTATTCTCTCGACTCACATCATACTTTATCAGTAAAACATCTTCGTCATGCTCTTCAACTAATCGTCGCAAAACATGAATCTCTTCGAACATCACTCATCTTTCATACAGAAAACAATCCAGTCATGCAACAAATCATTGATATGAACGATAATAATAGACAACTATTTACATTCATTGAAACCACTTATGAAACACATGAGCAACTAAATGAGATTTTACACGACGAGAAACGTAATCCTCAACTTTCTGATCTTGCTCAAGGTCTTGTCTTTCGGTGTCATATTATTTACTATAAACAAATGTCTTCAGATCACGTTCTTTCTGATGACGATTTACTTATTTTCAACTTTCACCATGCTCTATTTGACTTTTCATCGATGAATATATTTCTTCATGACCTCAATCAAGCATATACGACAGGTCAATTATTATATGATAACAACACTCTCCTACGTTATCTCGATTGTAAATACAAATAGTTCTTGTACTTTTCTCTTTTTTTAACACGTTCTTTTCTTTTATTATATAATAGATGCTGTTATTGAGCAACAAATGTCAATGACTGGTGCAAGTATGTTTTGGCTTGATGCTCTTCATGATTGTAAACTTGATCAATCATTATCACTACCATTTGATCGATATCGTCCTATGAATGAACATCGAACTGGTCGTGGAACATCTATTTCATTTGATTTCGGACAAGACCTCTCATATGACTATCTTATTCATGCATCATCAAATAACATATCAGTTGAACATCTCACATTTGCTATTTATTTCATCTTTCTCTTTAAACTAACCAATGCACAAACAGATTTATGTCTGGCTATGAACATCAATAATAATCGATATAGAGATGAGTTCAAATCAATCATTGGACTGTTTGAGAATATCATTCCATTGAGATGTCAACTAGATCCTCATTGGTGTTTTCATCAATTACTCGAACATGCTCCAGAGATAATAAGAAATAGTTTGAAATATTCATATTTTCCATTACAACGTATTCTCGATCAACATCCACATATTTCAAAACATGCATTTCTCGATACATCTCTGGAGTTTATATCATCCGAGAGTAACAATGGCACCAATGCAATAATGATTGGTGATTCTCGACTTGTTTCAGGACCTTTCCCATTCAAGATTAACGAAGATGAGATGTTAAGTACATCCGATTTCTCTCTTTCTATTTATCATGATATGAGCATCAATCAACTGTCATGCACAATCAAGGCATCACTTGACTTGTTCAATAGAGAGACAGTGGAGAAGATTTCACAACGATTTTATTCTATCTTACATCAATTATCTACATCGATTATCGACAGTCAAATAAAAAAACCTATCAATGAAATATCATTAACATTATCAAATGAACAATATCTAAGGCAGTCATTGAATAATACACAGATATCATTTTCATCTCCTCTTACTTGTATCCACCATGAATTTGTATATCAAGTAATGAAACATCCACAAAAACTAGGAGTTGAACTAGATGATCAATCATTGACATACTGTGAACTTCTATATTATGTTCAAGTATTATCTTTAACTCTTCTTAATGAATATCACGTGTTGGCAGGTGAGATCGTGTGTCAATGTGTTGAGAGAAGTCTGTCAATGGTAAGTTGATTAGGAAAAATATTAATTGATGGTAGTTTGTGAGTGTTTTTAACTAGGTAATAGGTATTATGGCAATTGAAATGAGTGGAAGTGTATATTGTCCACTGTCACCTAGAGATCCACAAAATCGTTTGCATACACTTATAGAACAAACTCAAAGTCGTTGTGTTCTTGTTCATCATTTAACTAAGATTCAATTCGATGATGATATTATTTCACTTGACATTGATTTGGTTCTGACTAATATAAAGGTGGACGGCATAGTTCATATCGATGAGTTGTCAAATGTATTAGTAGCTCCAGACACAATAGTTTACATCGTCTTCACAAGTGGCTCAACAGGAACACCGAAAGCGGTTAGTTTAAAATAGTATATTTTCTTGATGTCATGAAAATAATTTCTTTTCTCAAAGGCTCAAGTTTTGCATCAAAATTTCATTCAGTTAATGCATTCATTAGTACGCGATGATGTATTGAACGAACACGATATAATTATGCAAATAGCGCGTTGTTCCTTTGATCTTCATATTCAAGATATTATTGGCACATTAATAACTGGAGCTTCATTAGTGATGCTACATCTTGGAGGAACCATCGACTTCGACTACCTTATTGAGGTCATCAAGACGAAGACTGTTACATACTTCACAACTGTGCCAACTATGTTTCAACATTTGTTTAGTTTGTTGCAAAAATCTAATAAACTTACAGCTATAAAAACACTACGATCCCTTTGCAGCGGTGGTATGTAAACTTTTCCTGACATGTAGTTTTATGTCAAGCTTTTCTACACTTTACAGGTGACATATGTTCTGTCAATCTCGTACACTTAATCTTAAGTTCAGTCCCACATTCTTGTAGATTATGGAACTTGTACGGTCCAGCCGAAGCAACTATAGTTTCTACCTCCCATAAAGTACATATTCAAACTAATGTACGTAACATCTCAATCGGTAGACCACTTTTTAATTACCGATGCATTATTATAAATCAATACTTACAATCATCTACCACAGCTCAAGAAGGAGAATTGTTTATAGGAGGAGTCGGTGTCTTTGCTGGTTATCTTAGACGTGATGATTTAACTGCAAAAGCCCTTGTTGAAATAGATGGTCAACTATTTTATCGAACAGGTGATCATGTTACAATGGATAACCATGGTCTTCTTTATTATCAAGGAAGAAAAGATCATCAAATCAAACTACATGGACAAAGAATTGAACTTGGTGAAATTGAACGATGTTTACTTAGCATTACATCTCTATCTGGGTGTGTTGTCATGAAATGGAAAGATGATTATTTAGTTGCATATGTTCAAAGTTTTGATGTTAATGAACAGGAGTTGCGTGCATATTGTCAATCTCATCTTCCACCACATATGATACCATCCATATTTATTATACTTAATAAGTTACCTTTGAATCAAAATGGAAAAATAGACCGAAAACAACTTCCTTCACCTGTCTTTTCTTCTTCGACTTTGTTATCATCCTATGAATCTAATACTCCTCTTAATCAGTTCGAAGAACGTATACACACTATTTGGTGTCAAGTTCTTCATTCTAATCAAAATCAAATTTCTACAACTACCAGTTTTTTTAGTGCTGGTGGTCATTCACTTCGCTTCATCGAACTCTATTATCGTTATCAGTCATTATTCAGTTTTGATGCTCATTCACTCTCGATTGGTCTCTTTCTTCAGCAACCAACTATTCGACAACATGCACAACTACTTCAAACACTTCCATCTAATGATACGCAGGCAACACGATGTCAGATACTACATATCAATCAAGGTAAAACATCTTTAAATTAAGAAACATCCATCAGATATATAAACTCACTGGTTTCTCTTGTAGACATTACTTCTTTTGCTCAGGAGAGTATCTCTCTCGATGAACAAGTTCAAATTTCACATCAGGTTGCTACCTATTCGAATTTTTTCGAACATCCGTTCGTTGTGATCAATGAAAGTTGCGATAATGTTTTGTTCATTTTGCCACCTGGCGAGGGGGGTGCCGAAAGCTACTTCAACAATATTGTGCCTCATTTATCGCAATATAAACTGGTAATATTCAACAATTACTATCTGGATGTTCAAGCAAAAAATACGAAAAAAGGCTTCTCCTTCGAGGTATTAGCTCCTGTATACATAAAGTATATTAAAGAAATCCAACATGATGGTCCATATAACTTTCTAGGCTGGAGTTTTGGCGGCATTTTATCGTTTGAAATTTCTCGTCAATTGATTAATGCTGGCGAGAAGGTTGATAATATTTTTATGATCGACTCATACTTTAATGTAAGCAAGGCTTCTTTTGAAAATGGCAAAATACATCAAGTATATGTTAACGATTCAATGAACTATTATTTACCGATGATAGACAATGAACCGTTCGGATTAAATATAACCAACCGAAATACAAACATTGTATTATTTAAAGCTAACAAGATGCAGGAAAACTTTACATTGAACGATGATTTAGAATTATCATCATACTACACCAATACATTATTTAATAACCTTGACACACTAGTGAATCATGAATATATTCAGTTATTTCAAATGTATGGCGACAGTCATTCCTCTTGGATATTTAATGAAAAGCAAATTCTCAACATGTGCAACTATATAGCGAGTCTATTAGAATAAATAAAAAAGAGAACAAATACAGTAATTTTCTTGAACAGACAGTAATCATTTCAGTTTGATTTTTCTAATTTATCTTATTTTTTGTTAGTTATTTTTAATTCTTATTAAAAATCTAATAAATATCGGTATTATCACTTGTGAAACATCATAAACAAGATTAAATAAAAATAAATAAAATACGTGCACTGTATCACTTAATATTAAAGAACTACTGTTCATTCTGATTGTAACGTATTCATAGTATCGTTATCTTTCTTATCACTACTAAATTTTAATTTAAAAAAGGTATATATTTTTGCACAATATTTTTTTAACAATTCTCAATATGTTTTGCTCAGTGAAATATTATTTTCTGCGTAGTATATAATTTAAATTGTACAGTAATCAATTATACAAAATTCAGTATTTAATTATTTTCCGCTGAGTAAGTAATTTTTTCTTGTTCAGTATACCTTAATTTATTTCAGTAAAATAGTACATTGATAAGTAACACATAATCATTGAATCAATAGTGCTTTCTTGGTATTTGGTGGCTTACCATGACGTCGTTTTTCACCAAGTCTAATACTCTTATCAGTTGATGATGGCTTACAGTGATTTAACCTGATTGCAACACCCACAACATGTTTACACATAAACTTCTTTAAAAAATCGGCAATTACAAAATATTCTGACCATTTAAATTTATCGACTACTAATGGGTGACACATCATGTATCGAACGGCTCTTTTTTCTATACTGATCAAAGAAGCACCATTTAAATTTCTTCTTTGCATGAATGTCAACGTTATTAATTGTTGTTTGATGTCGATCAAGCATGCAGTTTTCAACATAATTATCCAAGGGGAAAAAAGCGATTTATGATTTTTTGATTAAAAAGTGATTTTTGTGATTAAAATTGATTTTTTTGATTAAAATTTGATTTTTAACTGATTTAAATCAGCTTTTCCCCCCTTGTAATTATCGAATTCAATCAAAAACTTTATCTTGTTCGATTTGATCCATTTATATGCATTTGTCCATAAATCTAAAGTTATTGTTTGTTTGTCTTGGTAACACTTTAAACCTCGTTCGTATGATTTGGATTATTTCTAAACAATATCGAACTCAAGTCGAAGCGAACAACAAAAAAACGCGTTTCGAACGCATCTGGTATTGTTACGAACAACGACTAGAGTTCGTGCCATACGACACCACTTAATCTGTTCTTGTTAATTAATGTCAAATCCTTGACATTGAGGGTGGGTGAAGAGAAGAGTATCATCTACATCTATAACACACCGACCCACCTACCACTCAAGATAGCATAAAGTCTCTAAATGATGACGATCCCGCATCAGTGTGCTATATCAAAAGGACTCATTATCGCTTACCAACTGACCGAAAGGAGCTATTGATTTCTAGGGTGTAGGTGGGTATGATTGTGCCTACTTAATCTTAAGAAAACATCCATACTCATACCCTTTCCGCTCGTATGGTTATAAAATGGAGTAATGATCATTTAGTTGCTTATGTTCAAAGTTCTGGTATTGATGAAAAAGTATTAGATGAATACTGTCAGTCACACTTACCACCTCATATGATTTCATCTATATTCATTATACTTGACAAACTACCATTAAATCAGAGTTGTCAGATGCTATAGTTGAAAATCTGGAATATTTTTTTTTTAAATCCGTAAAGATTTTTAGGGATCATTTTAATTCAAGAAACTTCAGTTTTTCAATCAAAGTATCAAAAGTCTTATTATAAATCTTCGCAAGATGTATTTCAATGGAAAGAATGTCGAAACATAGTAAATTTAATAAACAATAAACCATAAACTATACATTTATATATTAAATCATACGTTGTTTTTTTATACAATATTTTTTACCAGAGTGAATAAGTTTTAACAGATCCGGTTTCGATGGAAAAAAAGTCATAATTTTGCGTACAAGGTATAGATGCATTTAATAAAATCAGTAAACGTTTCTAAAACATAAATAATCAGCTAAAATGCAATTTTATATGAAAAAGATCCGAAACCGGAAAAAACTAGAAAAACTTGCAAATGGAAAAATAAATCGAAAATTGCTTCTTCCACCTGACTTTTTATCCATCGTTAGTAATTATATTAGCAATATACCAAGCACTAGTGTTGAACGACAATTACAAAAGATTTTCAGTCAAGCTTTTCATGTTGAATTTCCGCCTATTGAAGTTCCCTTTGGTCAGCTCCGTGGAACATCCCTAGATGCTATACATGCATTTACATTAATACGCCAACAATTGTGTACTAATATTGACATTGGTCTTTTATTTACTAATCCATCTATTCGACAACTGGCTATAACAATAGAATTTTTCTTGATTTCGAATTAATTACAAAAGACAGTATTGACAGCCAATCAGTCTCATGAAACACATCTTCGTTTTTCACCTTCGTTTGTTATAGAATCTATAGGTATTGCACTCCTCGTTTGTCAATGGTTATTACCAATCTTGACAATTCATCAGTGGTGTTTACTTCTTTTTCCTATCTTACTACTATTTCATCTTTTATTCTATGTCATCTGCTCATATCTACTGTCACCGCGAAATATCAAAGATAACAATATTTTCTCTTGGGATTATTATCGATGGTGGTTTTTGGATCGACTATGGAATAACAACACATTTTGGTTACAGCATATACTGGGCACACCACTCTACAATTATTATCTTCGTCTTTGTGGTGCGCGAATTAGTCTCAACACACATATTTATACCACAGCTATTGATGCTCCATGGTTGTTAGAAATTGATGATGGAAGTTGGATTGCTAATGAAACGTGTCTGAACTGTTTATATTTTAATGATGATAACACTTTCAAACTGAATCCAATTAGAATTGGATCTAACTGTTCAATCGGTACACGATTGATTTTATTTGATGGAGTTAATATGCAAAATAATATTATTGTTCAACCAATGTCATCAGTCACTGGTTTTGTCGCATCTAAAATGATTATCGATGGTGAAGAGCACAAATCTCTTCCTTCAGACATCTCTATTGTGCAGAGTAACAGATCATTCTACATATGGCATAAGATCTATCAAGTGATTGGGCTTTTCTCAATCATCGGTTTTCATTGTATACTTTTGATCATAGTACATAAAGTTTATTCAGTTAGACAAATACCAGTATTATTTAGTATTGCTTTTTGTTGGACTTTATGGTCAATTATTAGTTGTTTTATTTTCTAGGTTTTTGCAAAGGTGACATTAACAGATAAGAATGTTCTTGAAATCAATTGTGGTAGTGGTGCTGGTGCTGCATGGTGTATTCATACTCATGCATTTCATTCTTACATTGGAATAGATCCATCTCAAGATGTCATTAACTTATGTCAACGACTTTATTCGACAGTTCCTCGACTTTCTTTCGTAGTAGCTGATGCAACAAAACATTTACCATTTGAAAATGAGTCAATTGATAGTATTCTTTGTATTGAAACAACACATGCTTTTGGCGAATCAATAGCAATCACACAGTTTGCTAATGAAGTCGTTCGTGTACTTCGTCCAAATGGATATCTTCTATGGTGTGATTTTTGTTACATGAATGGATCAGATACATCAATTTATGATCTGATAGCAAATAATGACTTAATCATTGAAGAAAAGATTAATATTACAAAGAATGTTCTTCATGCACTTGACATTTAAAATAAATCTCGTACTAATTTCATTCAACGGTATATTCAAACCGAAGAACAAGAATATTTTCATCGGTTTGCTGGATTACCTGGTACTCAAATTTATGAAGACATGAGCCAAGGACGTTCACAATATTGGCGAGTTGTATTTCGAAAGAAGTCAACAACAGATATGCCTATCATCTGAAATCAAATTTTAACTGAACAACAGACACACTTTTTCTTTTTTCAACTAACTATACTTTTTATTTTTATCCTTATATACGTACTAATGTCATATTATTCTACTTCATAATCGTATCTCATTTTTATTTCGTAACCAATAAATTATCTTTTTATTTTTGACACGAATATTGTATTGGATTTTGAATCATTCGATTCGTTTTAGTAGATATACTCAGAATGAAAATAGAATGTGATTTGGATTAAATAATATCTATTTAGGTTAAAAACAAAATGTCTTCAAATTCGCTCTAATTGTTATTTAATTCATCCTTATATTAATTCATTGAAGCTAATGTTGAATCGGTCATGGAAATAACTTGTACAAGTGAGCAGTATGATATTGATATGATACGATTTTAGAGTGGATGTGAGTGTAAGTTTGAGTAAGAGTATAAAGAAAAGATACATCCCCACTCGCATTCAAACCTAGTTTCTGTTGCTCATTTCACTTTGTTTGCCTTGTAACACATTAACAAACGACAGTAAATTGTTTTTTTTCTCTCATTCTTAGCAATAACGTCACTAACATCAACACATAGAATAAGTAACAGAATACAAATTATGTCCATAATTCTTCATCTGTACAATGTCAGAAAACATAATATTTTTATCGTCGGCTGTCTTAGAATCTCACTTGAAACTTGAGGATATGGATTGGTGGTTTAAAAGTGATATATGGATGATTGAATTATATCCACACCTACACCTTATCGAACAGATTCTATCTATCCTTATAACGATAAAACCTTCTAGAATATTATATTAAACTTCTTGCTTAAAATATTTTCATTTTACTTCTTAATAATTATTTCAAAACGCATCAATATCAATTAAAGATCTAACTAAATCCTGTAAAAATCTAACTTATCGTAAAGAATTAACTGAATATTGTGCACTGTATTATCCATATATATTATAATAAAAGTCGAATAAATCAAGGTTGAGTATATTTTACATTCTTTTACTTTTTCTCATACTGAAGAGATGCTAACATCTGACATCTACTTTACGACTGCTTGTAATCTGATAAGTTCTTTGTCGATTCATATAAATTTCATTTTACAGGTAACTGATAAAACATTAGACACAACTAAACTAAATAATGGCAACTCCAGCTTCTACTTTACCTGTATCATTTACAAATGATGATGTTAAAGCAAATGTCTGTTCAAAAGCTCAATCATCTGTAAATGCTTTAGCTGTACTTGCTAAATCCATCTTAAAAAATTCCCATAGTAGTGATCATTTAACAACAACATTAAAACAATTTGCAAATAGTGAGGACCAAATTAAATCGACACAAGGTCATATTGATAGAATTGAATTTATACACGAACAATTACTCTTTCACTCTAATAAAATTCTATCAGATACTCAAGAACTTATTGAAATTCATCAAACTTTTTCGAACATGAAACTTGAAAAAAATTTTTAATATTCGTTTATTTAAATATATATTTCTTTTTTAAGTAAACATGAACTATGTGATGTCACCATAAAACACCTGTTTTTTTTCTAAAATAATTTTTTTATTTTTTCTTTGCATGTTATATTCATGCTGAAGTATAATAATTATATAAAAAGAAACTATTTTCCAATTACAATAGTATTTCTGACTGTCCTTGATTAATTATGAATGTAGATAAATTTAGCTTCTCATATAAATATAGAACATTTAAAGTAAATATGATATATTTTTGTTTTCATTGAAAACAATTTATTATTTGTTAATATAGAAGACAGTCGAAATCATCTCATCAAGATTATATATCTGAAGTGTAGTTATCCAAACACACTGACTCACAAGTTGCACTAGAAATTAATGATGTTATTTTTTCACAAAGAATTTAATACAGGTTACTCAACCACGCTGGTTGATTTATATCAAAGATATCAGTGTTATATGCTTCATTATATATTCAATGTCTTTCTTTGGTGATACTTTATAGTTGCTGTACATGTAGAGATATGACACTAGCGACCTCTTCAGTAGTCTTTCTTTTCATTCTGTATTATGATTTGTAATAAGACAAACAAATCATATTCATGTTCTTATTTTTGCATTTGCACTTAATAACTACTCTTTTTGCTTATTTTCTGTTGATACATACAGAGAAAGGTCTTAATATTGAGCAACAACAATAATGAATAATGAACCAACCACAATTCCAATTGAAACAGTAAAAAAGAAACTTAAAAAATATGTCGCATTAAAAGAACCCGAAAAAGTAGAAAAGTTTCTTTATAAAACTTTCTTATTCTGTTCAGTATTTTTTTAGGTAAAAGAATATCTTCGTAAATTGCATCATGCATCTGTAACTTCTTCATTAATTCAAGTAAAAATCAAGAAGAACTTTAGAACAAAAATATTGATGAGTTGGTTTTATTTTATAGGAAACGAAAATCGATAGTCTTGTTCGTCAACTTGCATCAGATAAAACAGCTACTTACAGTTCATCTGCAAGAAAATTATTAAAAAGATGGCATCATCAAAGATCATTATCAAAACCAACAATAGAAACAAATAAAATAACTATTGAAAAGCAATCTGATGAATTAAGGTTTGAAATAATTATTCATTGAATAAATCAAATCCTTTTGTTTTTCTTAAGTGAATCTCAATCATTTGATAATAATAAACAACGTAAAGTTCTTTCACTTGCTCAATATCTTGAAAATAAAAAACATATTTTATCATTATCATCAACGAGTAATACAAAGCAAAATAAATTAGCTGATAGTCAAATTGAAGTCATCAATGCACAATTTAAAGCTACGACAGAAAAATTAACTGCTAGTGTGCCTGATCTTACTAATACTCTGAATAAAAATTTAATAGAAATACAGAAAAAAAATAACATTCTAAACGAATTTGTTGTTAAGAAGACAACTCATGAAGAATCAAAACAAAAATTCATTGATTTATGGGCTGAAGATGATGATGATAATGATAGCAATATTCAATCACAAACTACCGAATCTAAGACAGTGAATAGTAATGATAGTTTTCATATTCAAAAACTACGACAGATATAGTGTGTAGTACATGTTCATTTTTCTCTATTTGTATGATGAAATCTATATGAAATTGTGTTTTTTTTATTTTTTGTTTCTATAGATGAATAAAGATTATTTTCGAATACATTGTACTTTTTCAATCAGTTGATACAGATAGTGAAAACAATATATATATAGTCCTTTTTTTCTCACAGATGACAATTATGTTTGTTTACAACCTCAGAAATAAAAAAAGTTGATCCATTAGAGAAAAAATATTACTATCAATTCCACACGTAAATCCATATCTTCATCATATAGGATTTATATTCACCAAAAATCATTAAGAATACTACTAGGATTTTAATCTCTAAAGAATGTAACACACGATTGGGTTGAAATCAAAAGAATCAAAGACAAAATTTATTGACAGTATATGTAGTTTATCGATGGATATTGAATAAAATATACGGACATAATAAAACGGTCTATAGAAAATTTTGTTATTGAACAAACAATCAAGTTAAACGCTATATCATAAACATGTAAGTAACGATATAACATGACTATATACTCAAACCCATTCATTTTTATAAGTTACTTTCAACTTAACTGGTAAGATATGATCGGAAATCATTTTCAGTTTATTCGTCATCAGAAATTTTTTTTATCAATAAATGTGATAAATAAATAATAATAGTTACAAAAGAATTCGATGCTTAAGAAATTTGCAGGTTATACACGTGGAATTACTTGCGATATATTTTATTCGATTAGAAATGCATCGATTTGTACTTTACACAAACAAATCATGCAGTTTACAAACCTCCTGTTGCTCATGAGCTTTTAAATGTGTCAGCAATAATCTATAATTGACAAAATCATCTTTAAAATGTATATGTGAATGAGTTAGTATCACTGATTTTATAAAGATAAAATGAAGAAAAAAAGAGCACATGTGATGGTTCACGCCTGACTAATCGTCCCCTTCTTTCTTTCTTTCTACAAATAAATGAATAAACTCGATATCTTGTTGTATTTAATCTTGACATATACAATCCATGTCTAAAGAAACGAAAGAGTAAAAACATGTGTAATAGTCTGGATACAGTTTCTTTCAATTTTTTCTTTTAACTTATCTGTCAGTACACTCACCGTTTTATACCCAGTCACCTTATTATATTATATTTATAAGTAGATATTTTTTCATTTATTTTTCATTATAATCAGCGCTGTCTTCATTATTTGGATTGAATTAGACAATGCCGAGTGGACATCGTACAGCAACAATATCTTCGATTGTGCCATTAACTTCCGATGAGCATGAAGTCGAACTTCATTCTATACGTAGAAATAGTGATAATCAAAGTATAAACTCAAACACAGGTTCTTCACATGGCAAATCGAATTCTAATGATAAAAGTCGATGGAAAAAGTTCTTAAAAAAGTTTGACTTTCTCAATGTAGAGAAACGTGGTATCCAACGTGTTTTACCTGAAGATCGAAATGATTCAACAATTATTAATACAGCAATGATATGGGTAATATCAAAATATTACTCTATTCGTATGAGAAAACATTTGAATAATATATTTTTAAGGTCAGTTCAAATATGATAATACCGTGTTTTGCTATTGGTACACTAGGCCCAGCTGTATTTAAATTAGGTTTATATGAATCATTTGTAGCAATAATTATATTCAATATAATTGGTATTATTCCAACAGCAGCAATAGCTTGTTTTGGTCCAGCATCAGGTTTACGTACGATGGTTTTTTCACGTTATAGTTGGGGTTTCTATGGTGCTTCAGTTATAGCAGCTCTTAATGTGATTAGTGCATTGGGTTGGGCAGCAGTCAATAGCATAACCGGTGCTCAAACATTACGTGTTGTATTCAATGATAAATTACCTATCGCTGTTGGAATTATTATTATTGCTATATTATCAATGATTGTTTCATTTGTGGGTTATAGATGGATTCACATCTATGAAAGATATTCATGGATACCTGTTTTTATTGCATATTGCATTGTAGCTGGAGTTAGTGGAAAATATATTTCACATTCTCAAACGGTAATATTTCTTATGATTTTTTTATCTTAGCCTGAATTTTGTAGTGAACATAGATATATATGTATATTAATTATAGAGAACTTTGAATGCTACGATATCAAATGAAATTCATCATTGGGATATTTCTAGTATATTAAGTTTTGGTTCAGTATGTTTTGGTAATGCAGTTAGTTGGTGTTCATTTGCAGCTGATTACACTACATATTTTCCTGAAAATACTAGTCAAATGAAAGTCTTTGTCTTTACTTATCTGGGTAATTTTTTGACCCTAATACCATTAGGATTACTTGGTGCAGCTGTTTATACAGGAACATATACAAATCCAAGTTGGTCTGATGCTTATGAAAAGAACAGTGTAGGTGGATTATTAGGTGCAAGTATATCATCTGTGGGTGGTTTTGGTAAATTTTTATTAGTATTATTTTCATTATCAACTGTTGCTTGTAATATTCCAAATATCTATTCATTATCATTATCTTCGCAAGTAGTGGCACCAATATTTAAACATATTCCACGAATTGTATATACAGTTATTGGTACTGTCATCTATGTGATACTAGGTATCGTTGCTGCAAGTAGTTTTAATAGTGCATTAACATCATTCACAGATGTTATTTCATATTGGTTTTGTATATTTATCGTTATTGTATTTGAAGAACATCTTATATTTCGACGTTGTTCATATAAAAATTATGATTTTGATATTTATGATAATCGAAAAGTATTACCAATAAGTATAGCTGCAATTACATCTGGTTTAATTGGACTTGCCGGTATTATACTTGGAATGTCACAAACTTGGTTTGAAGGTCCAATTTCTAAAGCTATTGCCGGAAATAGTGGCCAACATCATCCCGATGTTGGATTTGAATGTGCAATCATTTTTACAGCAGTTACTTTCCCTTTACTTAGACTTCTTGAACTACACTTCATCAAACGATAATTTATTCTTAAACAAATTATTATTCAAGCTAAACTTCTACTAATACATATATATTTTAAAATTTGACTTCTGATTAAACGAAATCTTTGTAAGTAATAAAAATTTCATCTGTGATCTATCAAAAATCATATCATTCCAATGATATCAAATGCAAATAAACACTCTATCATGCATAACTCAATCATATACATTGAACACATGTCATGATATAGAGCCGCCTTATTTTCGCATACAATAAAAAAAGAAGAAGATGAAGCAGAACGAAAAAAAAATAAAACATATGCACACATGTCATTGATAAAAAAAGATTAAAAGAAAAGTTTCATCTTTCAATGCTTCCACTTCAAGGTGACATTCAAATCGGACATGGACAATAGACAACAAATACGAAGTATCATCAAAGTTAAGTGTAATGAATAAGAAGACGACGACATATCACTATTCAACATAAGTATGCGCTTTTTCTAAACAGCTGTGATCAAATTCTCTATTCAGATCATAAGCATATAAATTGTCCATTATTTTATGATTTTAATTGAATATATCATCAGCTTCTGTTTATCTATTCCTATATCGACGTGAAAATCTAAAAGT